CCCTTCTATTGTTTAAAAACGACCCTATACAAAAATAAAAAATAGGTTTAAAATACAGGCTGTGGTTCTTAATTTCTTTTTATTAATTCACCATTTGTAAACTGATGTTTACTGTTAATTTTTTAGAACTATCAATAGCATTTGTATTAAAACTATATTCACTGAATGTAATCAAAAAAATCGAGAATCGAATCGAGAGCTTGCGAATCGAAATCGAATCGAATCGGGACATCTGAATCGATACCCAGCCCTATTTAACTCTTAGATGTTTCAGCACATCACTATCAGCACTAGTACTAGTGATGACTGGCTCGGTACATAACTAAACCACACTGACTCAAATGAATGTCTAATTCTCACTCTCTCTGTCTGTCTGTAGCCCAGCGTGTTGATCGTCAGTTATATCGAGTCTGGGAAAGCGGCTGCACAGTTCGGCTTCTATCAGCTGGTGGAATGGAAGCCCGATGACTCCATGATCGCAGTGACGGTGAGTAAAACACATCTGTCTCTCCTGTGAGTGCGCTTTATGAGGAGGTGAATCGTCTGTCTGTTATGTAGTGAGAACTTATCACATCATATCATCGTCCAGCAGGTGCCACTACGCTGCCAAACTGTTGCTATGCAGTTGCTAGGGTGTTCAGAGTGTGTTTAGGCTGTTGCTATGCAGTTGCTAGGGTGTTCAGAGTGTGTTTAGGCTGTTACTATGCAGTTGCTAGGGTGTTCTGAGTGTTGCTAGCAGTTGCTAGGGTGTAATGCAGTTGCAAGGGTGTTCTGAGTGTTTTAGGCTGTTGCTATGCAGTTGCTTGGGTGTTCTAAGTGTTTTGGGCTGTTGCTGTGCAGTTGCTAGGGTGTTGTGAGTGTTTAGGCTGTTGCTATTCAGTTGCTAGGGTGTTCTAAGTGTTTTGGGCTGTTGCTATGCAGTTGCTAGGGTGTTCTGAGTGTTTAGTCTGTCGCTATGCAGTTTCTAGGGTGTTGTGAGTGACTTAGTCCCATAGTTTTGCACACCTCTAGTCTTGTGTGTGGAGATGTATTGATTGATTGATTGATTGATGTCACCACATTTTCCCTGAATGTTCTCCATGCTGACAGTTCCTCTGTCGTCGTGCAGAACAGCGTTAATCTCAGCGCTAACAGCCCTAGTGAGTCGCCCACATCAGCGGTATTTTAAGGCATTATGGGTGAAGTTAGGAGGCATAATTACTCCAGTCACACATGTCCTTCACAGAGGAGACGACTGTTTAAATGTTAATGTGAGTTTGTGCAGATGTGCGTCCGTCAGTCACTGCGTACAGTGAACAAAACAAACGCTGTGGTTTCTCTTTTGTTTGGCTGATAAATGCTGTCATTCATTCTGCTGTATGAATGCAGACGGACAGACAGAGATGAGCAGAGAGTCTTTACACGCTCACATCTGCCAGTCGCACTCATACAGTGTTCACTCTGTTACACTACAATACTGTGCTTACTGCTTATATTAGATTTTCTTGCATTGATCATCACAGCATCCTCTAAAATCTGGAACCCTTTCTTCATTTGGCTGATTAACCCTTTCCACCATCTGGACAGTTTATGTAAAAAATTTGTTTGTGCTTGGTGCACTTACATTTTTGTTTATCTTTTGTACATTAAAATATACATTTTAAATAAACACATTATTTTCTATTATTATTTATTATTATATTTTATAGTTTATATTTTTATATTCTCTTTATTTTTATTATTACCTCCCCCTTTATCAAAAAACAATTAATTAATTAATTAATTTATTATATTTAATTATTTTTACATTTATTGTATTTCGTTTATCTTTTTTGTAATTAATCTTAATTGTAATTTATTGTATTTTAGTTGGTCTTTAAATAAACTGATTATTTGATTATTTGTTGTTTTTAATTAAAAATAGTTTAAGGTTAAATTAATTTATCCTATTAAAATGTATTGTAATTCTTTGTATTTAATAAATTTTATTTATTTATTTTAGTCATGTTGTAAATTATTAAATTTTTTTTTCTTTTTTCTATTTTTAGAATTTCCTCCCATTTATTATTATTAGTACATTATTGGTACATTATTACATTTTTTATTTAAAATTATTGTAATTTATGTAAAATAAATAAATACATTTTAGTTAGTATGTAAATAAACGGATTATTTCATTTTTACATGGTTTCTATTTATACTTTCCTCCTATTTATTTACATTTTAATTTTAATTTATGGTAATTAATTTTAATTAGATATTTTTATTTAGTTTTTGCACACCCTGTTATGGAAGGCATTTTCTGCCCATTTTAAATAAATAAATGTAATTATAAAAATGAAAATAAATAATGAAATTGTTCATCTGGTTTTCATTTTTATAATTACATTTATTTATTTAAAATTGGCAGAAAATGCCTTCCATACCCTGTATGTATTTCATAAAAAAAAAAAAAATTATATTTTAATGCACACAGATATAAGAGAGATGTTTCTGGCCATTGTCTCACAGTTTTTTCAGCATCTTGTGCCTTAAGCAGCACATTTAAGATGCTGTGTCCATTTAGAAGTGTCCTGAAGCTGTATTTCCATCTGTGCTGTTGTTGTTGTGGGTCTGGTTCTGTCCATCAGTCTGGGTCAGAATCGTCACGCGTGTTCAGACAGCAGATCTCGGTGTTTCCACTGCCAGACGTCACAGCGGTGCAGGATTACAGCACGACCGCAGGCTTGATTTCACAGCGCCGCTCTTCTGTGTCTGAGTCAACAGTCAGTGTTTAGTCTTGATAGCAGTCGGTTTGGGTCATCAGGGAAGCACAGATGACAGCCGCTCATTGGCTTCATGCAGGTTTAACTAGTCGACTGACACGGTTTGATTCTCCATCCTGCAGCTTCGTTTACACGAGTCACTGATGAAGATGACATTAACACGGATCTGCCGCTTCTAAATGTCACGAATATAAATCACGCTCACAATGCAGCCTCAGCAGACTAGACATTTAAATATTCATTATGCATTACAATAATAGATGTGCTGTTTGTAGTTATAGTTCAAAAGAAATTTTAAACCTGTAATTATTGAGTTTAACACTGATTTTGTTATCCAGGGTAGTAAATACTCCAGAATATTCCAGAGAGAAGTGCTCTGATTTCCTCTGTTTGTACTGTAAATGAAAGCCCGGAGGATCATGGGATATCTGTGTTTACCGAATGATTCTGAAACGGTTTTTCCTTTTTATCAAGAGCCTGTTCCAGATCACTTTTCACCCAATATTAAAAGATAAAAGAAGGAAACTGCACAAAGAAATGGTCCTTTTCAGTTGTTGACACTTAATCATGTTTTCATACAAAATTCTCCATGAAGAAGGAGTTTTATTTATATAGTGCCTTTCCATAGCTCAAGGTCACTTTACATAGTGCTAAACAAAACATTTGCACATATACACAATACAAACACATAAGGCCACATATAGCCACATTATCCAAAATACATATTAAAATGGATGAAGAATACATGAAGAAAATGTTATTATTATTATATTTAACTTTTTCCATGTTTGTCATGGAAATGTCACAGTGTGAAATATCTCAGTGGTCCCAAATATTATGCAATTATATTAAGTAAAAAGTATATTTTATAAATAAATATTATAATTTATAATATAATAATATCATAATGCTAATAATAATAATATAAATAATATAATATAAAACCACTTTCAATATAAAATAGTAAGTGTGTACAGTGTAAAGTGTGTATACTTTATATAAATAAAATAGTATTTTTTTATTTTTTTGAACTGTTGACCTGGCAACATGTTTCTAAATGCTTCTAAATATAAATATTATCTAAATATTCTAAATATCAGTGAAGTTGTAGATTAAAGAGTACAAACAGTTTCTTTGATGTGCTCGTAAACTCTGATGCTCCACACGGAGAGCGTGAGTCTCAGAGGATTCTCTCTTGTGCTTTAATCTTTCGCTGGTGTCTCGTGAAAATCTCTTCACAGTGCAGACGTTTACAGAGTGAAGGCAGATAGCAGCGGCCCGCTTTGGGATGTTTAGTCTGTTCTCCGACACACAGCCTGAGAGCTTCTGCCGCTCCGCGCCGCACGCGGCTGATCGATGGAGCATCATGGGTAATACTGGCCTCTCTGCGTACAAAATGTTCCCAGGAGTTCAGTGATTGGCTGGAGCTTCAGTGAACTTCATTCACCTCAGAAAAATGTCCCACGAACAGAGCTGTGTGGGCTGCAAGTGATAAACCTGCATGAAGATTCCCACAATCCTAAAAATAACCGATGGCTTTCTCACCGCATGCAGCGTCTTCATCTGCTGTCTAGTCTGTATCTGTTCTGATATTGTGTTAGTGGTCTTTTGGGCTGCAGAATTTGGCCAAAGTTTTATGAATACATGTCAATATGGCAATAATAATAACCTTTTTTTGGGTATAATAATAACCTTTATGTATACATTTTATTTTATTAATTGTAAAATATAATTTTATAATATATTTTATATGTATAATAATAATAATAATAATTATTATTATTATTACTAAATAAAAAATATAAAAAGCACAAAATAGAAATAAATGGTATTAAAGACAAAAATATAATATATAAAACACAATAATATAAGAACAATTTTATTTTACATTACAGTACTAATATTTTTGGCTTTCAATTTGACAGAAATGTTTGGGTTATTTTTTCCTTCCTTTGTTTGTTTGTTTGTTTGTTTGTTTGTTTGTTTGTCATTGGACTTGACAATTTGGCCAACATTTTGTGACTATATATCAGTATGGCTATAATAATAATAAAAATACATATTAAATAATAGTAATAAAATTAAATAGTAATAAAATATTACTAAATAAAAAATATGAAAATTACTAAAAAAAAAACAATAAAAAGAAATCCATAAAATAAAAATAAAACATGTATACTTACTCTATAATAACTGTATAATTACTATACTAATATTTATGTCTGTCATTTTTATTGAAATGTGTTTTGTTTGTTTGTTTTTGTTTTCTGTGGTTTTTGCTGTATAGTCTAATCTAGTCTGTGTCTGTGCTGATACTGTTACTGATTTCAGACTGGTTTCTCGCTGAAGTTTAGTTCAGCATCAGTTGAATCTGATAAGATTTGTTGTGGTTGCTGTGCACAACATTGATTCGCTCCGTCTCGTCGGTCAGATCGCAGGACTTTGTTTGGTTCCTGCAGGCGAACGAGGGATCGCTGTGATGACGATCTCACCTGACGACACGCTTTAATCAAACCCTGTGTGTTTCTGCTCTGGATTATTCACAGAGTGTTATTTCTGGGACTGAAACACTCGACACACGCATGTGTCTGGCATCAGTTTAAACAAGCACAAAACAGGTTTTATTCATGTCTGTGTTTGTGCATTTTCGGACGTGTTTTGGACTCATTTGTCAGATTGGAGTTTGTTTGCATGCGAGGAGCACAAAAGATCAGCAGAGAGGAAGTCAGAAACATGCAGTGGTTTGGTGGAGAATGGTGTGCGTCTCAAATCTGAGCTGGTTTGTTGTCACCACATCAACAGCTTGAGAACGGCTGACTGCAGCGTTTTTAATGTGTTTTGACGCTTTTATCTTCCTGTGTGTATGTAAATGTGCTGAGCGCTCAACCTGATGCCTTCCTAAAAACCACAGCCACAAACACTTTGTGATTATTCAAGTGTGACAGATTAAGTGCAGGTTAATTTTAATTATTATAACTTTTTTTTAAATATGAAACCACTGCCATGTACAGCTTCAGGGTTGTTGCTTTATTTCAGCAACAATTTCCCTATTTCCCACTTATGAAGTCGTTATTACGAACTCATTGCATTCAAACGATTTGTTGTCGGAAAGAATAAAATGTAATATTCCACTGGTTGATAACCATAAACATTCACTGCGCTAGATAATCGGCTTGATACGATTCTGGAATTTCGGTCAAGTGCATGCTTATTTCACTGTTTATATACATACAATATGCTTCAAATGCCTATATATATTAATAGGCACTACTTTAACGACAAGACAAGGTGATGTAGATGTTTAAAAAAAAAAAGAGAATAATAAAGAATAGCATTGACAGCAGCAACCGTTGTCCCTCCAACATGTTTATGGCCCGAGTATCAAAATAAGCTCAGAGAAGTAAGCTCAGAGAGAACGGCCTCCTTTGTTGAGGCCGTTCATATCCAATTTCTGATCAGGAAACTCATATTTATGATAATTCTGATAGCATGTGAAGGCAGCGTAAGCGTGCTCCGGACCTGAACATGAAGTGCAATGCTCCTGCAGGCCAGCGGGGGACCGCCGCTTCTGTGTTAAACTGCTGAATGTTCGAGAGCTGTATGCTGGGGTGAATTATTTCAGTGTGTTTCTCCTGCTATGACGGATGCCTGAAGACTGTAATCAGAATTCATATGACGCTTGGAAACGATCCATTATCCTGTGTATACGTAACGGATCAGATCCGCTGCTGGTCCGGTTCACTCCTGAAATCATCCTTCAGCAAACAAGCGGTTCAGGACACGCAAAGAGACGCAGTTAATGACAGTGCTGTGTAGAAACACTGGAGACTGTAGTGTTAGCCAGCAGCAGAGATACAGTTAAAGCCTGTTCACTGAGCGCTAATCTGAACCCTCTTACAGTGATGCAAGGTTTTCCCCCTGCCACAATAACATTTTATTTTATGCTAGATTTTTATTTTATATTACACTCATTTTTACTCTAGAATTATTTTAGATTTTTTTAGAAATGTATTTAGTTTTATTTTAGATTTTATTTGTGATTTATATATGTTCTAGATTTTATTTTAGATTTTATTTTTCTTTATTTTACTTTTATTCACTTATTTATTCACTTTTATTTTACTCTTATTCATTTTTATTCTAGATTTAGGTTGTTTATATTTTTCTAGATTTTATTTTTATTTTATAATTTATTTTCAATTTAATTTATTTAATTTTATTTTTATTTTAGATTCGTTTTTATTTTAGATGTATTTTATTTTAGTGTTTTATTTTTATATTAGATTTTATTTCAGATTTTTTTCATTTTTTGTTTGTTTTAAATTTCTTTTATTTTAGATTTTAAACAACCTGTTAGTTATAGCTTTTATTCATTTATTTATTTATTAAATTTTTTTTTATGAAATTAGAAACTGTTATTTAAGGTCCAGAATCTGTACTCCACACATTGCTCTATTGATATTGTTTGTGTTTGATATGAACTGATATGTAAAGCACTTTCACTCAGGTATGCAAATGTTTTTCTGCTCTTTTGATGACAATTCAAATCATGTTCAGCGTAAATTGATGCGAGGCAAAACATCGGCCGGCGTCTCTCGTCATGCTTTGCGTTACGAGAGCGTTTTCTTCAGCTGCGTTCTGGAATGCTGCTGTTTGAACAGCGACTTCCGCGCGATTCCTCCGTCGCTAAGCAACCAGCAATAACAGGAAGGAGTGGCATTCCGAGAGGCTTTGTGTGAGTTTGTGGCTGCTTTGATGTATGTGCATTCCATGATTATTTCTCATATTACTTATCATTTAACTACTTGGTCGCAAGCTAGTATTACTACTCTGAAACCACTAGAGTCTTTGTATAAGCAATCACTAAAAACTCTTGATAAGAAATCAGTTCAGTTTCATCATTGTTCAATATAAAAAAAAAATACAATTTGCTAAGCTTGGATAACTTGATCAAATATGTACATATCTGTCTACTATTTAAGACCTTTTTGGCTAATTCTGGCACATTTACAGTTATGTTTATTAATGTGCATTGCTCCTGTTAACAAATCAACTTAAACTTAAACTTGTGGCTGTGTTCAGATCCTGCGCTGCTTCATGTTATCAGACGTCTGTATGAATGATTCAGATGATGAAAGATGTTCGTCTGCTCTCACAACGCTAAATATTAAAGTCTGTCTAGTTAGTTTGTTGAAATAAACATCTGTCTTGTGAGACTAGAATGATTGCGTGTGTTTGAGACGGCGGAGAGCTGCTCAAACCCTAGTGAGCTGTCTTAATGTCTGCTGCCTACATAGGCATCTCACTTCTTAGGGACCTTTACACAAATTAGTTTTTTTTTGTTTTTTTACTTTCTTTACTCTTTCTTTTTTTTTACGCTTATTTACTCTGTATTTGTTATTAAATTATTTTTTAATTTTAGTCTTTCTACGCAAATTCCTTGTTTAGTGTGTTTCTTGTTTTGTTTGTTTTTTGCTAGAAATTTCTGAAAGAAAATTATGTAAATTATTTATTTATTGAATTATGTAAATTATGTATGGGCCATTTTTTTTTAATATATACTATACATAATGTAAATATGTAACCCTGGAGCAAAAAAAATAAGGGTCCATTTTTTAAATTGAGATTTCTACATCATCTGAAAGCTGAATAAATAATATTTCCATTGATGTATGGTTTGTTAGGATAGGACAATATTTGGCAGAGATACAACTATTTGAAAATCTGGAATCTGAGGGTGCAAAAAAATCTAAATATTGAGAAAATCATCTTTAAAGTTGTTCAAATGAAGTTCTTAGCAATGCATATTACTAATCAAAAATTAAGTTTTGATATATTTACAGTAGGAAATTTACTAAATATCTTCATGGAACATGATCTTTACTTAATATCCTAATGATTTTTGGCATAAAAGAAAAACAATAATTTTGACCCATACAATGTATTGTTGGCTATTGCTACAAATATACCCCAGCGACTTAACACTGCTTTTGTGCTGCAGGGTCACATATGTTTATATAGTACAAATAGTATTTTAAGATTGAATCTTTTTTTTTTTTTGAGCAAATAATTTACTATATAAATTGTGGCCCATTTAAAAAATATATATTTAATGTAAATATTTATATTGTCCAAATGTATTTTTAAAAATACATTTTACATGCACCCAAAATGTGTTTTATGATCGGAAGTTTTTTCCCCACTCGTGCTCTAATATATTTAGAGATTTGTAACAAAATAAAAAACAAAAATACCTTAAAATATATTTTCTTAAGCTGTGCTGTTTATGACTTATTTTTAGCACATATTCCACTGTTCCACATATGTTTAGTGCATTTTGCACTCTTCAGTCTGTATGTTTGTCTTTGGCTGTTGAAGGATGTGTTTAGTGGAGCAGTCTGCAGCCGGTCACAGGTTCAGACCTGCAGGAGTGGAGTCTTGTGCTGATCTGCGGCGTCTCTGTGAGATCTGATGTCTCTCTCACACAGCAGATACTCACTGTTACGTGACTCGTTAAGAAGGTCAAGAAAAGACTGATGAGTCTTCATGAGATCACTCTCATCAGTCTGTCTGATGACAGCTGTCACATCATCAGTATACATGACGACAGACCGCATTGATCCTTGATTTGGTGTTATTGTGTGTGTGTGTGTGTGCGTGCATGCAGAAACTGAGATTGACTTTTATCTGCCACATGATGACATTTTGATAAACGCATCACTTCCTCTTCTCCACTTCTGACTGTCTGTTCTGAGCGGAGTAAAGCGGCGTTCAGGAGGAAGAGAAGAGCGTTGAGATCAGCACTTTCCTCAGACGCATCGCTGTGTTTGAGGTGGATTCTGGGAGTTTTGGCTGCGTTTCACTCCAGCTGTGGAAAACAATCCGTCCCGAGTGCTGAACTCTACAGGAAGTTCATCTCTCTCTCTCTCTCTCTCTCTCTCTCTCTCTCTGCTCCCACATTCTTCATAAGGTTCATTTAGACCACTCTGCTTCCACATTCTTCACTGCGTCTCCTTCCAGTGTTTCCATCGTCTGTGCTGCCAGAAGCTCTCGCTCGCAGCCTTTTCCACTTGTTTTGAACCTCTCTGTCTTTCCACGTCCTCTGGCCCTAAGTCCTCTGAGCCGCGTGTCTGCAACATTCAGACCATCAGCACTTTTAGAAAAATACGGGAAAAGAGAAAAAGAGATCAGATTATCTTAAGTTGTCTCAAGAAAACAAGTCTACATATTTTCTATATGTTTTTTTCTGTTCACCAAGGCTGCATTTATTTCATCAAAAATGCAGTAAAATTAAGAAATATTTTTATAATGTAAAACAGCTGTTTTCTATGAGAATATCTGTTAAAGTGTAATTAATTTCTGTGATGCGCAGCTGAATTTCCAGCATCATTACTGCAGTCTTCAGTGTCGCATGATCTTCAGAAATCATAATAATATGCTGATTTGCTGCTCAAGAAACATTTCTGATTATTATCAATAGGGTTGGGTATCGAGAACCGGTTCCAAATTTCCAATAATCGGATATTCGATAAGACATGTGCATTTCGAGTCCGCTTAACGATTCCCGCGTTCGCATTTTAATGTGATTTTAAACTATTTAAGTGCAGGAAGGGAAAGAACTTGCACACATCTGAAGCGCGAGCACAGAGAACAGTGGTCCCGATGCAGGTTCCCGACCGGTGTCCGTTCTCGAACTGTTCCGTGCATTTCCACAAAGGTTGTTCCGGGCCAGAACTGACTTCTCTTTCACATCTCTCGACCAGTATGCATGAAATACGTCAGTATATCATCATAAACACAGCCGTTTTTTTGTCTTAAGTGAACGTAAACAGATGAGAAAGAAAACGCATGTGTAACAGTATTTTTAGATCTGTGTGTGTTCGGTGTGTTAAAGAGACAGCCGTTTAATAAACGTGCTGCCTATCATTAATGTTAATCAAAGAACAAAAGAAAATCATTAACTGACTGAATATCTTTCGTAAATTTAATGAGGATTAATCAATATTTTATTTATGAAAAGAAAACTATACAGTGTTTTTAAACTTTTGATTTCAATTTCTGTACCTGACATTTGTTCAGTTTTATTTATTTATGCTATTGCTAATTAATTTGTTTACTTGTCTTTACCAATTTAATGTTTTATAATATAAAATTTATATTAGTCTAGTTGTTTTTTTTCTGTGGTATTTTTTTGATAAAACCATAGACATAAAACAGAATAAATATGTTTGACATCTAAATATTTGACTTAAAATTTGTTTAATGGATTTTTTTATCTTATTGGAATCGGAATTAGGAATCGATAAGAACCGGAATCGATAAGCAGAATCAGAACCGGAATCGATCAAATTCAAACGATACCCAACCCTAATTATCAATGTTGAAAACAGTTGTGCTGCACAATATTTTTGTGGAAACTGTGATACATTTTATTTTTTCAGGATTCACAGATGAATAGAAAGTTCAGCATTTATTTGAAATAGAATATTTTGTGACATTAGAAATGTCTTTACTGCCACTTTTGATTAATGCGTGCTTGATGATCTATATACAGTACATCAGAGCAGCGTCTTGTATTGAGTGACGGATTGTAAATGTTCTTGATTTCCATCTGGATCTGTAGGCGTCGTCGTTCTTTCAGATGTCAGTGTTCTTAATGAGTGTTTCACAGTTTTTCCCTCCTTTTTTGCATGCGGTCGTCATGGTGACGGCTTTTCCATTCTGTGTGTCTGAAGTGTTTTGAGCATTCTGTCATTTTTGGCATTTCTCTGAGTACAATTCATGACATTTACTGTGTGGAGCGACAGCCTGAGGACTCAGACAGCGCTGAAACACATGATAATAACACGCCTGTGCTTTACCCTTCAACCCTGTTTAGCCTGGCTCCTGTTTTCCTCTGACTTGCGTGGTTTTGTTGATGAGGGCATCACACCACCTGTCCATATTTCATCTGTCTAATCTCAGAGAGTGAAGTTGTGCTGAATACTGTAGGGTTTGATTGGACACATAATCTTTGATAACTGCAACAAATGTCACAATGTTTTGTTTTTTTTGCCTCTGTTATGTGTTTATTATGCTCTCTTTACAAACTACTCACGTTCTATATGTTTTGTTGAGTTTGATTATTTACATTTAGCATTATATTTCCCTGCTTTCTGTCATCTTTCAGGTTGTGAATTTATTTATTTAGCTACTATTTCTTCTTTATTTATTTATTTGGTTGTTTATTTCTTTTATTATATATATATATATATATATATATATACAAAATACACAGTCATTATATAG